GATAGTGTTTGATGAGCTGCACTATCGAAAGGTCTCTGCTCGATGGGTCCCAAAAGAGCTGACAGCTGACCACAGGACGCAACGTGCTGAAGTGTCTCAGACTTTGTTGAATCGTTGTCGCCAAGCTGTCACGGGAGTCATGAACGTATCTGGAGACCTCCAACAATACGATGAAGCATTTCTGAGAAACATTATTACAGGTGATGAGACTTGGATACACCACATGATCCCTTAGACGAAGAGGGATTCAATGGTTTGGAAGCACACGTCTTCACCTCCCCCGAAAAAGTTTAGAGTTCAGCCATCGGTGAAGAAACTCATGGCCACGGTTTTCTGGGATGCTAAGGGTGTTCTGCTTATTGACATTCTGGAACCAGGACAAACTGTCAATGCTAACAGATACTGCCAGACTCTTGATAAGTTAAGAGAGGTTGTGCGCCGAAAAAGACCAGGTCGGTTGTCCAGCGGGGTCATTTTGCAGCATGACAACGCAACGCCACACACCGCAAACGCTACGAAAGACTGGATCCAAAGGTTCGGCTGGGAAGTTATGCCACACCCACCTCACAGTCCTGACTTGGCCCCGTCAGATTATCACCTTTTTGGACCAATGAAACGCCATATTTCTGGACAGCGATTCACCGACGACGAAGACCTCGTGGAAGCCGTGAAAGATAAGTTGAAATCCCTTGACGAAAAATCCTTCAGGGACGGTATCTTCTCCCTGATCCAGCGATGGGAAAAATACGTCCAGCGGGATGATGATTACATTGAGAAATAAAGCACACGTTGAGGTATGATGTGTTACATTTTTATTATAATAGGACAAAGATTGTTGCTTTTACGGACCTTTTCCTGTTTTCCGTGGGACAGCCCTCGTACTTTTGTTGCTCAAAGTGAACGAAACTGATGATGACCTTCAAAAAAACAAACGCGGTTGTTGTTGTTTTTTCAAGATCGCGAGTTCGGCGATCGATTTGTAGCAGGGCTGAAGCCGCCAGAAATCGAAACGATCTTCCAATAGGCGGTGCGCCTTTTAGGAGTATTGTTTATCTGTCCCCGTCGATTTATGCAAGAAAAATTATGAAATTATGCAAACTGAGCCCAAAAAATGTGAAATTAATCGAATCCGTTAATTTTAACAAAGAATGATACAGGAAAATAATCAGAAATTATGCCCAAAAAATGATCAAATTTTGCTAAATTATGCGGGTTGCATAAAACCCCGGGGACAGGTTTATATTATTTGCTCAAAGTAAGGGGGAGGGAGGAGGGTGTATTTGTGAAGATGTAGTGAGAACGTATGTCAGGGATGGGATTTTGTGTTTATAAGTATGTGTGTGTGTGTGTGTGTGTGTGTGTGTGTGT